CGTGGGCGAAAAATAAAAAAAAAAAATCCTTAAGAGGAGGAACTTCAAAATCAAACCCAGAAGAAGGAAATGGCAACCCACTTTTGTATTTCTATAAAAAAAAATGCAGCATTCTGTATAGACTTGGCTGAAGCATTTAGGCAAATTGGGTACCAGATGCTAACCTGCTCCCCTCCCCCCCATCCCCAAATTTCAGAATGACTGGGAAAGGGCACAGGACCTTTATAAGAGATCTGACAGCAATGACATGGCCAGAGCAAAGCTGCAAGGAAGACTGGTTTTTGATGGTGCCAGTAATGAAAGGACATATATGATAGGAATAGTATGTGAGAAGCATGAACTAAGAAACACTTGAAATTGTCATAGTGGAAATGAAGTATATTGATTGTATGTTTTAGAAATAAGTAAACCTAGATAGACCAAAATAGGCCACATCAAATTACAGTAATACATGTTATATAGTTTGGGGCATGAGATCACATAAAGGAATGGGGTGACAGTGACACACAAAAAGCAGATAGCTAAGTATTTAGTCAGCTATTTCCCCGTAAATGGGTCATATCTTTCAGAATTAGTGGATATTTGTTGAATCTCAGTGGTATACAACTATATACTCACTCTTACTACAAATGCAGTAGTGTAAAACACTAAAGAAGTCTTTAACAATTTGCAAGAAGGATCTTCTAGGAGGACAAAATACTACTAATAATGTAGTAATTAGTGCAATGCAAAAACTGGAGAAATGGAGCAACCTAGAATTAGAGGAAGATTTTAATTAAATTGTTTAAATGAATTATTTGTTCATTGCTAATACCTGCTTTGAGTAACATAAGCACAAACTCTATACCTGGACATCACCAGATTGGAATCAAATCAACTAATTAATAGAAAACAAATTATGAAGAAGTACAATCCAGCCAGCCAGGACCCTTCCCATGCAGTTTTCAGAACAGATCATGAATTGCAGATGCTCAACTTGGAAAATTAAAGAGAGTAGTATATCAAGGCAGAGGATGTAAAGTCAAAATATAAGATCGATTTATGGAAAAATCTGAAAAGGAACTGAAGGCCTATGGGAAGAGACAAGATGTGGCATAAAAAACAAAATGGGAAATATATTACCCAACTTTCAAAGACAAAATGATGTAAGTGGTTTCTAGAACAAGCTCTGCAATGCTTACAGAGAAAGACGGGTGAAAACCTTGGAGAAAATGAAGGACACCCAAAGTCCACACGGTGGCCAGGAATTGAGTCCACTTGTGACACACTGCCTTCTGAACGGAAGGTGGGATAACAAGTCTAGCAAATAAATAAATAAAACGTGTATGACTCTGAGTTGAAGTCGGGCAGCTCATACACGGATCTGTCGCTTTAGAACTATATCCTACTGTATAGATTAATCTGTAGACCTATATATTCCCAGATCTCTTTCTCTAAGCCTCGAGATCTGTGTTATACAAGGACCGAAGGAGCAGCTGCTCTGAAAATTGTAAGATTAGAGGATCTGCCTTTGTTTTCAACAAAATCCCGCTCCCTTTCAAAAGTGACAGAGCCAAAAAACCGGCAAAAATCGAGCTCTACTCCTTTTTTTACAAAATGACGTTCCTCAGCCCACCATCGCTCTTCCCAGCCGCCCCAAACACAGTTGTAAAGGAACCTGTCCGCTTCTGCCAAAGCTTCGCCCAGGAACACTTATCCAGTCACGAAGCGGGCACGCGGATGGAGTTAATTGAAAAAAACCACACTTTTCTAGATTCATATAGTCAGTCAGAGAATGAGCGAGGAACTCAGCGCGCCAATGAGCGTTCCTCTTCTCTAGCCCCGCCTACTATATGCTGGCTCCGTCTGTCCTCTTATCCGAAAAAGCAAGACTGCTGGCGCGCAGGGAAATCAGAATGGGACGCGGGCGCGGGCAAGCGCCCGTGGGCCGGTAAAATCGTGCGGGCGCGCGCCTTCCGTGTCTCCTGGACGGTGTCCGACGAGGCTCATTCTACGCTTGCATCCTCTCCCTTAAGACCGTCTGAGGCCTGGAAAAGCGAAGCGTAAGAAGGAGGCCCTTAAGAAGTTGCGGCAAGGCCGGCGGCAATGTCCGTAAGGAGCGGCCAGGGGCGCGCGGTGGCGTTGCTGCGGG